GGGATGAGGACAATCACATCTCCAAAGCTGTTGTGCTGCTGGTAAGCATGTAGCATCAGGGGCTCAGCACTATACAACCACCTGGACCCCAAGAGATCTAAGGGCCTTTCCTGCCTGGCCCTGGAAACCTGCAGGGGCCCCAGCTTCTGACACTGGAGAGAAAAAGGAGCCAGTTAGGTACGAGGTGAGAGAGATTGCTCCGATCAGAGAGTACATACCCCTCTGCCAGGGGGCATCTGATTTAACAGACCCCTGAGCAGCTCTGTTAGGCTAAAACACTCCATGTTTATTGAAAACCACACACGACAATCACAGTGGACCCGCTCATCCCTGGTGCAAGTCCAGCAACTTCAGCAGGGATAAATCTGGCTAATAAGCTTAAACTCCCTCCAGGCTGTACCCAGCTGGATGCTCAGAGGTGCATGAAATGGATCCACACAGAAGTATCTGGGGTGATAGGGCAGGTTCCTAAACCCAAACCTCAAGCCCTGACTTCCACCCACTGGCCACATTGCATCTTTCCCCCTGCAGCCCAGGACTCACGGTAACAATCTCTGTAGTCACACACACATACACAGGTACAGGCTCTTGCTCAATGTTTGAAGTCAGTTCTATATACAGCGGTAAGAGCACTTTAACCCAGTGGCAGCCAGGCTGGCAGAAGATGCCCCATGAACACAGAGTCACTGGCTTAGGAAGCCAGCTGAAGAAATGCTTGGTATTGAGATAAAGTGTGTCCTAGCAGAAGACACCGGATTCCCCTGAAAGATCTGGTGAGGTCTGAATGAGGCTTAAAGTGATCAGAAGAGGTGGAATCAGGTGCCTTTATGGGCTCTTTCTTCGACATAGAGCTGCATCTGGAAGAGATTGTGGAAGCAATTAAGCAAAGAAAAACCCTGCAGGAGGCACTCGGCTGTTCACAAGGTGCAGTACTAGCTTTATGCTTTTGTTCTCAGGGGTGGTGGTTGGGGAGTGGAGTTCTGTGAATGACAATTTTTTTCTGTTCATTGGAAGGTCCAAAAAAAGTCCTTAAGTCCTTGTCTGGGGTCAGCTCAAAGTGAAGCTTCCAGAATGTTTGGCTATAGCATCAATTTTTATTTTATGTTGCGAAAACATATTGGCATTGCAACACCCCATTTTGAAATAAGCAAACGAAGCACTTGGCTTATAAAATGCTGACACATTTTTGGACGGTTCACCAAATTTGGCACAAACCTGCCAATGGACCAAAAATTATGTGGGGAGGGGGGCAGTGGTAATCCAAAAACCCATCCATCTCTGCTCTGGTGGTGCCTCCCACCACATCTGTGTCTCTAGCTTTACATAGGGAAGAGTCTACTCATTATAGCTGGCCCTAGCTCAGCCACCCCTCGACCAGCCTCCTGTGCAAGTCAGGGAGGGCTCGGGAGCTCTGCTCACCTTCAGGATGTCAGAGGTCATGGTCTTCAGGGGGATCAGCCGGGGGTCATGCATGTGCACATCCTGCTCATCTGCAAGAATCCATGGGAAATCCTGGGGGCAGAGAAGACAACAGCCTTAGCACAGGGGGGAAGAGCTTCCTTAGGCTCTCAGGAGGACTACAAATAGAAGCAGGACTGGGTGGAGCTGGCAGCCCAGGGCTGCTCCTCATCTCCCCAGCTCCAAGCCTGTGGTAAAGGGGTAAGGAGGGAGTTAGGGGCTTGTAAGGAAAGAGGAGGGCATGCGAGGAACCAAAGCTGAGTCTGGACGGGGACTCGAGAGCAGCAGTAGACTTCCTCCTTGTGACAGTGACTAATAGAGCAGTTCCTCGTTAGGCAACACCCCAGGCCATACCTGCCCTTCAGCCAGGGGCTGGGCCTAGATCACCTACTGCAGAAGGGTGTCACCCACCTTTATCACCTGGATCTTCTCCATGTTGCGCGTGGCAGCTTCCCGTGTGTGGACCAAGACTGTGAAGGTGCAGCCTGCAAGGAAAAAGGAAGGCACTGGCATTGCACGGTCGGGGTCCTGGCAGGTACCATCCAAGGTGCAAGCAAAGCACTGCACTGACTAACGGACACCTCCGTGCCCCATGTCCACTGATAACTGAATGCTTCAACACAGCCCTTTCCCACAGGGGTCATTAAGGTAAAGTGTATCATCTCAGATAATTGGCTCTCACTTCAGTGCTGCCCCTAGCACTGCCTAGACCTCACACCCCAAGCCCTGGGCTCCTCTATTCCCCACCCTACCTTGGTTGCCCTTCCACAAACCCACCCCTATCTCTGCAGCACTGAGGGGGAATAGGGCTTTCCTTAACTCTGTTACAGAGTTCCTGCATCATCTCCCCATAGCACAGACCCCCTGTCAACCCTGATGCTTGGTGCCTGCCTTCATCCTGCTGAAGACTAGGTTGTGTTTCCAGTTTGCCCAGATACATCTGCAGACTTTCAGGATAAGAGAGCCTGGTGTGGAAATAGGATTCTACTCCACGTTCTAAGCCAGACCTACCTTTATCCACAAGTGTGACCTGTGCTCTTGCACACCCCACCCTAGAACTGGTTGCATTTCAGTCATGCTGCATCCATGTACTTTGAAATGCTGCTGAGATAAAAGTCACTATATAAAGCCCAGCTCTCTTTACAGGTGCTGCTGTGGCTGGCTGGGCGAGGGCCCTGAGCTCAGTGATACAGTGCTGCCTTTCCTGGCCGAGCATTTGACATCATGCTTCTGCAAAGCTGCCACTGAGCAAAGGGGAGGTTGGGGCCCTACCTGTCTATTTGTAACATTCAAAATACCGTGGGCCCCAAGGCCCACCGGGCTAATGAGTATCCCCTATTGCACCCACTGGTCCTCAAAGGCATCCAAGGAGCTGGTGGACACCTCCCACTGGTGCTCTGCCCAGAAATGTGCACGGACAAGTGAGAGGAAAGCGGCCCCACAGTCTCTGGGCACTGGGGCCCTACCTGGGGGGTTGTGGTCGAGCACGGCATCACACACGCTGATCTTCAGGATGAAGGCACGCAACAGCTGCTCCACGTGGGACAGCAGGGAATCCGAGCTGGATGGAGAAGAGGATTGTTATGGAGCCTCCTCACCACCAAAACAGTTCACATGCAAGGAGAGGGCAGCAGGCTCTGGCCAGCCATGTGGAAACCATTACCTGATGGACAGCAGAGGTGGCTGCATGATCTCAAAGACAAATCTCTCCACTGGGTGGTGCTCTTTATCCAGGATCACCACCACCACCTTCTCCACATCGTTCTGCAAGCACAAATCCAGAGCCTTACTCAGGGAGAGCTCCGTGCCAGCCCCTGCCCTTCTACTGCCCCCAATCAGGAACTGGCTTGTTTTGGGGCAGTTTTATCCCAATGCCTGCCAGATGGCCACAATCAAGCACTTTGTCACTGTAATAGCCAGAAAGGGGTCTTAATTGCAGGAGTTACCCCAAGACTTGCAGGGAGATGTGTTCCACAGAATGCAACTTTCCCATCTCCTGATGCTGCATTTCTAGGGGAGCAATGGGCAAAGCGTGGTCGGAGGCCTCCACTCGCACCCAGCTTGGTCTGAGAGTATGGTACTTAAGGCAGGTTCTCTGCATGCCCAAATCTGGGACAGTAAGAGGCCACAGACAGTTCACGCTCATTGTAGGAGTATCCTCGCAATGCTGCTCTGCCTCCACATGCACAGAGCAGGAGAATTAACAGAGATTGTATCAGGGCTGTAGGTTCAAGGAGCCACAGTGAGGCAAATTTAGCCCCAAAACTGATCTTATGTAAAGATTAAGTTTTTTAGGAAGTGCTTTGGGTCAGATGGATCTAGACTTACACCCAGTGGAAGTGCCACTTTCAGAACAGAAAAGCCAAGTCTTTCCCATAGCATCTGCAATCCCAACACTGTAGCTCTGTGCTAATGCTCAAAGGTGAAACGAACTGAAAACTACATTGGGAAGTGAAACTGGCTTGTTTTCAGACATCAAGCTGAGGGGACATGCAAACTACAGAGCAGCAACAGTGAGTGAAGAGTGGGCCAGGGGCCCGATCTTGCTATGAGCTCCAGACAGCCAGACTTTTTCACCCACAGAGAGAATCAGGAGTTGAAGCATGTGCTTGACTTTGTTTTCAAGACTACTCCCAGTGATTTCCACGTGGCTGTTAAAATGAATTCATGTTAATCTTCTGAGATTCATTTGTAATATACTGTATAGTTAAGGCCATGGTGGCCCTGAAGCAAGCTCAAGGTAATAAAATGCAAAGCTGGACCCGGGTGTGGGGAAAGCTTTATGAAAGCACAGTGGATCTCTCACCTTCTCAGCGGCTATATCTTACACAGAAGACAGGATCACTAGCCATGGGAGGTCCTGCATGCCTAATCTGCACTGAACAATTGCACAATTGTTGTATCAAGGCCAGAGGGGAAGGGTGTGGATAGGATGGCATATATCCTGCCCACTGGGGGCTGGCACGGCCTTACCTTCTCAAGCAGCGGCTTCACGCAGTGCAGGGTGTCCTGAATGTACCGGTTCAGCTCTGGGTGGCAGGACATCTGCGCAAGCAGAATGAGCAGTGAGCACTGAATAAGAGTAACCTGGTTTTTCAAAGGCAGGGAGAAGCAGCAGCCCTGGCAAATGGGGTGGACAATGAGGAGGGGAAATTTTCACCCTTGGCTTGGCAGGCCAAGTCCAGCAGACAGGAGCTATTGGATGCTGTTACCATCTGACAACAGCTTTTTGCGTTATGGGGACATTCGTCTGGACATATCTCCCAGAAGGAATTAGTCCGAGGAGTGTCCCAGACGAAGCCCGTGCACCTGCAGACGGGGGGTCTCCTACCTGCACTGGCACATTGTATTTTTTCCTCTTCTGAAAGATGCCGATGGGGTAAACTTCCCGGACGTACAGGATGAGATGAACAGCCACCTCCAGGAACTCGGAGAGGACATCTGCGACCACTGGAGAGCGGAGAGGAAAGGAGGTGCAGCCGAGCAGGGGAGGGAAAGCTGAGCTTCCCGGCTGCGGCACCTGTACCATACGCTCCAGCGACTTTCCCCCCCGAGGGATTTCGATGTATTTTACACTTGCTGCCACCCTCATTAGCGTGGGGTTTGCCAGCTATTGAGCGTCAGACGATGTTACACAACAGTTTGGGACAGGAAGCAAAGAACTGAAGCCAGCTGGCGAAAGGGCGGCAAGCGGATCGAAACATCTGGCCGCGCAAACTCTTTGGGCCGTGAAAGCGCTCTCGCACGTCTCCCTTCCCGATACAGGCCGTGGCTGCACCTCGGTCTCGTGAGACCCCGCACCCCGCCAGCGCGCCCGCCGGGGTCACACCACGGTAGCCCCCTCCCCGGACACGGCCAGGACGGAGCCCCTGCCCGGCCGTACCTTGTCCGAAGTTGAGATCCTGCCTGGTGAGGGTGGTCATCGTCCCGCCGACCTGCGAGCAAGGGGGAGAGGCGTGAATTGCCCCTGCACCGACTGCGCCCCGCCGGC